GTCGTTCTTCTGGAGCGAGGGGGCGGGCCCACCTTCCGAAAAAGGAAGCGAACGAGGATCCAGCAGTCGCTCCGCCGGCGGCCGCCGCTGTCGCCGCTGCCAAGCCTGCGTCCTCCACGGGCACTGCGTCCGCCGCGCCCACGTCCCCCACGTCGTCCTCCACCACGTCTGCCACGACGTCCGGCGCGCCTGCGCCCACTGACCAGGGGGGGGCGCGCTCGGCGACCGCCGCGGGGCCAGCGGCAGCCACGCCGCCAGCCCCGGCAGCGCGGGCTGCGCCTGCCACGTGGGCTGCTGCAGCGCTGGCCGCGTCAGCCGCGCTGCTGGCCCCTCCTACAGTGCAAGCCCATCTGTCGGCGCGGTTAGCCCCAACCGCGCCAGCCACGTCAGCTCCAGCGCCTGCTGTGGCAGCTGCGTCGGCCCCCCCTCCAGCGTCTGCCCCGCTGTTAGCGTTATTAGCCCCAGCAGTCGCGTTGGTCGCAATGCCACTGTTAGCCCCAACAATGTTGAGGCAGTCCTTCAAACGACGACGCACCTGTCGTCGACGCTGCCTGCGAGCTGCAGCGTCGCCATCATCCAGCTGGGGACTTCTGGCCAGCAGGCCTGCAGCGAACCATGGCTCAGGCGTGGCTGCAGCGAGGCGCGGCGGCCTCGCAGGCGAGGCAGGCGAAGTGAAAGCGCGGCTGCGCACTGCGCGGACGACGCCTGGCGCCGACGATGCAGCTGCAGGCGCCAGCAGTACAGATGCCGGCGCCGGCTCAGCGGCCGGCGCTGGCGACGCGGCAGTCCAGCGCGCGAGCCCCGGGCGGGCTGCCTGCTCCTCCGCGCCCTCGTCGTCCGACAGCAGTAGCCCCAGCAGTTGATCTCCAAGCCTGGCCCTGCTTAGCGCCGGGCGAGCTGGCCGCTGAACACCGCCACCATCGCCCGACAGCAATAGCCCCAGCAGCTCATCTCCAAGACTGGCCATCTACGCTGAGATCGCTGCGCGAGCCAAAACGGCCGCGGGGAAGCAGCGCAAGCTGCGCGGGGCGACGAGGAAGAGAAGGAGGTGGTGGGAGGAGGGGGAGGAGGAGGAGGAGGAAGGGGAGGCCGAGACACAAGAGGCAACGGGGATTGGAGGTGGAGGAGGAGGAGGCGGAGGAGGAGGAGGAGGAGGGGGAGGAGGAGGAGGAGGAGGAGGAGGAGGATGGCGGGGGCGCGGGATGCCCGCCTGCTGCGCCCCCACTGTCGCAGCGTCGCATTGGACGCCGCAACAAGGGGGAGGGGATAGCGAGGAGCGAGGGTCAGCAGCGAGCCCACTGGGGGCCCTCTCCATGGAACCCCCCTCTTGCTCAGAGTATTGGGGGGGCCTCTTGGGGCCGCCTTCCTGTGGGCATCGATCAATCAGATGCAGCGGTGGTGGTGGTGGTGGCGGTGGTGGCGGTGTGCGGGGGGCTTAAAGACCCCTTCCCCCCCCCACCCACACACGCACACACGCACACGCACACACACACACACGCGCGCACACACATGCACACATACAAACACAAATACAAACACACACACACACACACACACGCACACACACACACACACACACGCACACACACACACACACCACCCCCCCCACCCAGGACACACACGCGCGCACACGCACGCACGCACGCACGCGCACACGCACGCGCACACATACAAACACACACACACACACACACACGCACACGCACGCACGCACGCACGCATGCACGCACACACACACACACACACACTCACACACACACACACGCACACTCCTCTCTCCGGGACGATCGATTTCGCTTCCTGGGCGGCTTTGACTAAATAATATCAGTATTTTTCATAGCGGGAACGCAACATAAAACATTGCTTCTCGGAGGAGGGCCCTGAAAGTACGCGACAACATTTCTCAGGCAGGGCACCTCGGAGCATGTTGGAAGCCGTATCTGGCGATCTGCGGCGCGGTGGGACGGAGGAGGAGGCCATCTGGGGGCATCACTGGCGGCCCTCGTCCTTTCGCCATCTTGGGCAATCTTTGGCGCTCTAAACAATCGGCCAAACCCTTATCTCGGCAAACCCCGCGGCAAGCAACTCCCCGCCTACGACGCCTCTACCCTCTCGCCGTACCCTAGATTATGTATATATATAAAATATATATATATATATATATATATTTATATATACAGACATTATATATATATTAATAAATCATATATATAAGTTTGTATAGGTCCAGGGGGGGGGGGGAGGGGGAGAGGTAAAAAACCAGGTCCAGGGGAGGGGGTAGGAGGGGGAGGGGTAAAAAAAACCCTCCCAAGGGGAAGAAGGAGGTTGGAAGAGGAAACTCTTTAGGCCACCTACGCCCTAAAGGGCCGGTGGGATTCGCTAGTAGACAGACCACCTGCGGCCAGAGGGCGGCGGCAATAGTCGCGGTGGCGTTGGAGCGGCGGCGCTGGTGGCGGGAGCGGCGGCAGTGGCGGTAGCAGAGCGGCAGTGACTGGGGCGGGGCGGCAGTAGTGGTGGTGGTGGCGGCGGCGGCGGTTGGCGGCGGCGGCGAGCAGCAGCGGCGGCGGCGGGCTGCTTCTTCGCCCTGCCCTCCCTGTGGCCCAGGTGGGCAGCGCTGGGCGGGCGCTGCTGGGCCTGCCGGCGACTGGTGGCGCGCAGGCGTCGCTCGAGAAGGCGTTGTTGCTGGGGCTAATAATCACTGCCGCCCCCCCCCCCCTCCCCCGCAGCAGCCGCCGCCCCCCCCCGCCTCCCATGGCGGTTGGCGGTGGCGCGGGGTCGAGGCAGGGGGGGGCGGCGGCTCGTTGGGCGGGCTAGAAGGTGGCGTACGACATGCTGATCGGCGACGCCCCGGTGCCTGGGTGGTCCGATCCGCAATCGCAGCAGGACTTGCTGGTTGGGAAAGACAAGGGGGGGCTGGTAGGTAGCTCCCCCTTAACCCTGGGCCCCTCCTCTCCCAGAGGCCGCTTGCTACCAACAACCTGGGGTAGTAGGGGGAGGATGGGCCGGCCGCCTGCTACAAACCTGGGGCTAGACATCACCCCCCCTGCCTGGCCACCTCGCGAGGACCAGCTGGAGACCCGGGTCTTGGAGGCGCTAAGCGCGGAGCACCGGCGGCGCCAGTGGGCGGCGGTGGTCGAGGAAGACAGCCGTCTCGCGACCTTGCCGCGCGTGCACTGGCTGTCGACTTATCCGAATAATCTCATTCCATCGAAGCTCTTGACGGGGTGGGGCATGAACTGGTGGCTCGGCGGCGCGGCGGCTGTGCAGGATAGGGCTAATAGCTTGGACTGGGACATCCTGGTGGACTGCCTCGGCGACGGGCCTGGGGGCGGGGGGCGGCAGTGGGCGGCGGGGCTAAGGGGCCCAGTCCACTTGCCAGCATCGTGGAATTACCGCGGGGTCGCGCAGCAGCTGAGGGGTGCGATAAGAACCCTGGCTGCGGCGCCGCGTGGGGCTAAGGTGCTCATCTTCTGCCGCCAGGGGAAGTGCCGGTCGGCGTGCGTGGCTGCTGTGTGTCTCTGCGCCATGGGGCTAATGAGGGTTGAGCAAGCGGTGCGCCTCGCGCGCGCGAGCCGCCCCCAGGCCCTCCCACCTGGCAACTCGCGCGCCATGGAGGACATCGCGAAACTCGAGAAGCTCTGGGAGAACGAGGGCGAGGCGCTAAGGCATGCGGCTGCGGCAGGCGCCACCAGGGCTCGCGGGCGGCTGGGGGGCGAGGAGGGGGAGGGAGGAGGGGGAGGAGGAGAAGGAGGAGGAGGAGGAGGGCGACGACGACGAGGACGAGGGCGAGAACGAGGAGGACGAGGACAAGGTGGAGGAGGAGGACGAGGAGGGAGGAGGAGGAGGGAGGAGGACGAGGTGAGGAGGAGGGAGGAGGAGGAGAAGGAGGAGGAAGAGGACGAGGAGGACGAGGAGAGGGGGAAAGAGGAGGAGCAGGAACGTGAGGGGTCGGAAGAGAAATAGGAGGAGGAGGATGGGGGGAGGGAGGAGGATAAGGAGGAGGAGGACAAGGGGGATGATGACGAGGACAGGGGGGGAGGAGGAGTGGACGGGCAGGAGGAGGAGGTGGAGGAGGAAGACGATGAGAGGGGATGATGATGTGATGAGGAGGTGAAGAGGAGGAGGAGGAGGAGGAGGGGAAAAAGAAGAGGAGGCAGATGATGAGGGGGCGTAGTTCGTTCCAGGCAGAGTGATGAGGGGGGGGCCCCTGCTGCTGTCCCCCCTGTCTTCCATCTCCATCTCCTCGTCCTCCTCGTCCTCCTCGTCCTCCTCCTTCTCGTCCTCCTCGCCCCCCCCAACTTGGCTCCTCCTCCCCCCCCCCCTCGCCTGCTGCTGCTGCTGCCCCCCTCCCCCAGGCTTCGACGAAGCCCAGTTGCCCCTGGGGGGGGCCGCCGTCACCGTGGCCTTCGAGCGCGGGCGCGCTCGCGTGAAGGGCGAGGGGGGGGCGGGGGGCTAAGTTTCGGCGGGGCGCCGCCGCCGCGGGCGCCGCCGGAGCTAGGGTATAAGCGGACAGACGGCGCCTGGTTGCCGCAGCGAATTTGGGAGAAAAGGTGGAAGAGACATAGATAGGGAGTAAGAGGGGGGGGGAAAGGGGGGGGGAGGAGGAGGAGGGGGAGGAGGAGGAGGAGGAGCAGGATGAGGAGCCTCCCCCTGACGACGAGACGACTACCATGCTTTTTATACCCGAAGGCTAGGGGCAAAAAACAGTACCGAGTTCAAAGGCAAACAAGACGACGCGTCAATCATCTTCTTGTGCTTTCCATCGGCGGGCTTTAGCAACACCACGCCAGTGCCCTCGCCGCCCCCCCCCCAAAAAAAAAAAAAAAAGAGGGCCCCAGGGGGGGCATCATCTATAGGCAGGGGGATGCGCTTGTCCAAGGCAAGCGCATATTCAATTATTAAATGAGAGGAGGAGGAGCAGGAGGAGGGGCCAGGAAGAGAGAGGAGCAGGAACAGGAAGAAAGGAGCAAGTCATATTTGACTTGACATTATTTCCTGGCGCGTTCCCCAGCAGATTGGATTCCATGTGATCTTAGCCCATCCATGCGATCTTAGCCCCCATCGCGCGTTCAATTCCATTAGATCCCATGCCCCCCAGCAAGTGAATGAGAGCCCCAGGAGGGTTGAATCCTAGGTGCCAGATGCAGGTGGGCTAGGTGCCAGTTAGCGCGGTTAGACTTTCCTCCTGGTCCATGTGCGGGCGGCCTTCCACCACGGCACGCCGCAGCGGTTCGGACCTGGCGGCGGCGATTCGTTTCCTGCTCTCCTGAAAAGGCGCGTCCCAAACACTGATGCCCAGATCAGCGTAGCGCCGCGCCCCATGTTGCTCGCCAGAGCCTCCAGAGTGTCCAGGTCGCGCTTCGGGATCAGCTTGGTGGCCCAGCGTCGGTGGCGAAGGCCCCGGGCCTCCGCGTTCCGACGCGGCACGCGGCGACGCTGAGGCGGCTCCTCTGAGCAGCGCTCGCGTTCCGGCCAATATCGTGGGCAGACGGGTGGCCCTCACCACCAGGCTGGGCGCGGCGCTGCAGCCGCGGCTGGTGGCGCTGGGGGGCGCCGGCCAAGTGCTGAGGCGCCCCAGACCTGGAAGAGAATGCGGCTGCCGAGCCGCTCGGCGAAGGTCCTCTGGAGCTGCGGTGGACCTTAGGAAGCATACCGCAGCTCCGCTACCATGTCGGAGCGCGCGCAGACGCGCACGGGCCCTTGTCAGCGCACGAGCCAACGAGGGTTGCGGACGCACTCTCCGTCTCTTTGCTCATCCTGCCCACATGCTACCTGCTATGCTACACAGCATTGCAGCATGGGGTCGGAAACTCTGGATAACCATACAAACGATGGGGTCGAGAGCTCCAGCAACTACAGTCAGCAATTACACAGGAGAAAAACCCAATCAATGGATGGTTTGATGAGATCGATGGTGAGATCGTTTGAGTGAGATGGATAATGAGATCTATCATGAGATCGATAACGAATCGTGGGATCGACTAGGAACCCGGGAACCCGGAACCCACCGAAATCGGCCTGGAACCAATAACCAGGAACCAAGGAACCCGGAACAAGAAACCCAGAACCCAGCTGGCTACCAAAATCGGCGGGAAACTTTCGCCAAATCTTTCCATATCCGCTAGGACCCCTTCAGTGCAAGCACTGACTGGGAAATAGCCCTGACCATGCAGGAGGCCTCAGCAGGGTGACGCGTGACACACCCGAAACCGCACGAGAAAAACAATTGTAAGTTCGAAACTCTAGAAGCCAGCATGTCGCCAATCAGCCTCAGAAAAGCAACGGGTGACACGTGTCACCCCCGAAACCGTGTGAGAGAAACCGATCGTACATCCCACCAGCCCTCTGGGCGTAGGTGGTCTAGGCAGGCTCCTCTTCCAACCCCAATCTTTGCCTTCGGGGAGGGGTTATCACTGTTCCTTATGAATATACACCCCCTCCCCCAGGCGACTGGGGGCCACTGGGGGCCAACCAGGCACCGTGCCGACACCATGCCGACACCATGACGACATGACGACCCGCCCACCACCATCCCTGTCAAAAAACCATACAAACCGCACTCTGCCTCCACATTTGGAGCATGCGCGGCCAACCCGATGCGGCCCCCCCACCATCCCTGTCAAAAACATGCAAAGTACACTTTGGGTCAAATTCTTGAGGCATGTTCGTGAGGCCCGCGAGCACTTTGTAGTGTTTTTGAAAAGGACGGCGGGGGTGTCAGCATATCCCGTGCTGCGCGCAGGGCTACCATCCCTGACAAATAACCAATACAACATGCACCTCGCGGCTAAATCTGGTTCATGCGCGGCCATCCTGCGATCAGTGTCAAGTGGTTTTTGACAGGGACGGCGGGGGCGGTGGCGCGTGGCCTGCTGTGCACAGGCCCACCAGGCACAGTGATTGGCGGGGGCCGCCATGTTTCCCGATGTGCGCTGTCAGGTGTGCAGGCGCGCCTGACGCACTCTGCACGTGCCCCGAACGCGGCGCACCTGGCGCGGCTGGAGTGTGCGGCACACCTGGCGCACGTGGAGCACGTGGCGCATCTGGCGCACCAGGCATGCCTGGCACGCTCGGGCCCCAGGGGTGCCTGGCGCGCGTGGCGCCCCTGGCACGCGCGGCGCACCTCGACCCAGCGCCGCGCACCTCGGGTCGGCTTTTGGTTCCCAGTAGCTGCCCGTCTAAAGACTACCGCTGAACATGCTGAGGCTCGGGTGTTACTTCTGTGTGGGGAGGGCGGGCGGGAGTGAGCTAGACGGCTTGCGGGCGGGCGGGTGGCTTGACCCCTCCCCCATACCCCGTCCCCTGGACCTGGACGGGCGGTGCTGCGACCCATTGGAGGGTCCAAAACGGCCTCGGCGAGGAAGCCACAATCATTGGTTTTACTAGGGTGTCGGCCTAAAGTTGGCCTCGTAAGGGGGGCAAGGCTAATTGCCAACCCCCTTCTTCTTTGATCGATCTCCTCCACGATGGCCCCAAGAGGCGCCCAGGAGGCCCAAAGAGGCCCCAAGATGGCCCCAAGAGGCCCCGAGAAAGGCCATCAGGAGGCCCCCAAGAGGACCCCAAGCGGCCCCAAGAGGCCTCCCGAGGCACCCAAGACGCTCAAGAGCTCCCCAGGACCGCAAAGAGACCCCCAGGACGCCCCGAGAGGCCAACATGAAGCGCCCAAGAGATATCCCAAGAGGCTCCGAGAGGCATCCAAGAGACCTCTGCCCATTTTGCTTACCCTCCTCCTCCTCCTGCTCCTCCTTCCTCCTCCTACTCCATCTCTTCCTCCTCCTCCTCCTCCTCCTCCTCCGCATCCTCCTCATCCTATTTATCCTCCTTCTCCCCACACCCTCATCCATCCATCCAGCCTCCTTCTCCTCCTCCCTCCTTCGCACGGTTCGACCGTCCCCCTCTTTGCTCCTGCACTTCCCTGATCACCTCAACTCGCCTGGGTATCGTTTCTGGATGGGTTGGTAGGGATATGTTTGTCGCAACCGCAGGCGAAAATTGCCTAGCGCACGCAGACAACTGCAATCCTACCGCTAGACGCGAAGCGTCTAGAATTTAAGACTATGAGACCCAACATGGATCCTTTTGGCTCAGACAAGCAGCGGGTGACACGTGTCACCCCCGAAGCCGTTTGAGAAAGACGAATTGCGAATTAGAAACTATGCGAGCCAACATGGGGTCAACAAGCCTGGGCTGGTGACACGTGTCACGCCCGAAAACGCGTGGGAACAACAATTGAAAGTTTGGGAGCCAACGTGGGGTCAATCAGCCTCAGAAAAACAACGGGTGACACGTGTCACCCCCTAAATCGCGTGAGAAAAAAACAAGTGTGAATGTCGTAGTCTTGGGGCAAATATGGGGTCAATCAACCTCAAACAAAAGCATCGGATGACACGCGTCACCCCCGAAACCGCGTGAGGAAAACCAATTGCACATTTGGACTTCTGGCAGCCAGAAAAAAAAAAGACAAACGCCAAAAAAAAGAAAACACAGAAAAAAAACAGCCAAAAATCAAAAAACAAAAAAACAAAAAAAAATAGAAAAAAGAAAAGAAACAAAAAAAAAAACCAAAAAAAAACAAAAAAGCCAAAAAAAGAAAAAACAGAAGCCAAAAAAGCCCAAAATAAACAAACAGCCAAAAAAAAACCAAAAAGCCACCAAATGCCACCAAACTAAAAACGCCAAAAAAACAAAAAACAAACAAAAAAAAAAAAACATCAAAAAAATAAAAAAAAACAGAAAAAAGCCAGCATGGAACCAATTAAGCTAAGAAAAGCAGCAAGTGACACGTGTCACCCCCGAAACCGCATGAGAAAGACCAATCATGAAACTGGGATTGTGGGAGCCAACAGCAGATCATTCAGTTTGGACAAGACCAGCGGGTGACACGTGTCAACCCCGAAACTGTGCGAGAAATTGCAACCGCGTCGCTACACCCCCCCATGGAGGAGCGGGAGCAACGAAAGACTCGGCGTCGAAGACAGCGACGACCGACGACGAACGCCGACCGACGACGACGACGACGACGACGACGAAGACCTGCGGAATCCCAATGGGGGGGCGCGCAAGGCCTGGCGACGACGACGACGACGACGACGAACGACGACGACGACGACGACGACGACGACGACGCGACAATGACGACGGCGGCGACGACGACGACGACGACGATTCACCGACGAAACTGCGGACGCCGAGTGGGGCGGGGGCTGGTTGGCGAGTGGGTGGGCGCGGAAGTAAGATGCTCAGCGCAGCTCGCGCTCCGCATTTTTCGTGGACCCGCGGAAGGATCCAGGGCTCCCAACTTCGCGCTTCGCGCTCCGCGAAGCGCGAAAAATTTCGCGCTCTCGCGCCGCCCCCCCAAAGGGAGAGAAGGAGGACGAGGAGAAGGGGGAGAAGGAACGAGGACCGCGAAGCGCGAATAACTTCGCGCCCTCGAGGGAGCCCTTGAGGATGGCGGGTGTCCAAAACAGTGCCGCATGACCAGGGCGTTCCGCAGCTTGCTGGCCCCGCGGAGGGAAGGTGGGTGTTGAAAACGCCAGCGGATTTTACACGTCGGTCGGAAGAAGTAGGTAGAAACATGAAGTAGGAAGGCGGATATAGTGGATTGGGTCCAGGCCCCCCCAGGGAATAACAAAACACAGCGAAAGCGTGTCGATTATTGAAGTAGGAAGGCGCTTGAAGTAGATTGGGATCTGGGAATCTAAAAATACATACTTTCAGCGACCGGCGTGTAAAGCCGCTCGAACCCCTTTATACCCCATGCATTGCGGCTACGGTGCGATGAAGAAGGCGTCCTTGTCTGCCCCTCGTCATGCCAGACGATGCAGACATTTTGTATAGCAACCCATGCGTTGCATCTACTGCGCGATGCAGAAGGCGTCCTTACTTGCCCATCGTCGTGCCAGACACATCCCAGGACCGCTAACGCGACGAGTCATCACTCGCATCTGCGATCGCACACCCTGGTCACTGTCCAAACACTGGCAAATGACGAATTGACTTGTCCTTCCCCGCCCCCGCTTTCGGAGGTATTGTCTCTGCAACGGGAGGACGGCACAAGTGAATGAAAAGAAAAGAGTGCATGGTTCCGCGCCCGTAGAGGACTCGGTTGGAATGCCGTGAAGTTGAGGACGCCGGATGGACAACTGATTACCAACAAAACCAGCCTGACATGGCTGTGCTGGTTTATAAATGGATGACGGCAGCTTGAGCCGAATGTTCCAAATATGACGAAGCATGGGAACACACTGAAGAAAGAAGAAGGATGGATGGATTTCAAGCTAGATGCCTGGGGAGAATACTACACGTACATCCGCCTTTCTCACCATAATACCTAATAGCTAGGTCCTGAAAGATGGGCAAAAACAATACAGCGCACAACTCTTTAAAGATTGGCCGGCCCTCTCTTCTTGCGCCCACGCGCTCTGGCATACGGCATGAGCGATTGAGTGAGTTCCCCGCCCCCGATTTCGGAGGTAGTTGCCTGTGCAACGCCAGATGCTAGCAGGACAGCTCGCCAATTAAAAAAAATGAATTCTTGGACCCTGAAACAGCAGGCCCCAGGCTGCCACTGAGGCAGACGGATGCATGGCTCGCCCTGGACGCGGCCAGACGCTGGCAGGGCACCTCAGCTCTCCTCCAGCTCACTCCATGTCGCCGCTCCCGCCGGCTCCCACCGGGCGGTACGACCGGCCACGCGACCTCAGAGCAGCCCCGAGCGCTGCTGAGGGCGACCCTGGCGGCGGGGCAAGCGGCGGGGCAAGCGGCGCAACGGGCCTGCGCGCCCCTCGGCGCAGTTCCTTGGAGACGGCGCCCGCCCAGCTCCTGGGGCTGCCAGCGGCGCCTTCGCCCTCGGCGCCTCCTTCGGCCAGCGCTGCGACCGCCGCTGGTCCGAGGCAGCCGCGTTCGTCGAGGCACGGGCGGCGCTGCTTCACGCCCAGCTCCCAAGGCGAGCACGCCGGTCGCCGGGCGGCAGCCACCTTCTGCTCCCAGAACGCCTCGGACCGGAGCCGCCTGAGCGGGGCCACCCTCGGCGCCGGCATCGCAGACCTCATCTGGGGGAGGAGGAGGACGAGGAGGACGAGGAGGAGGAGGAGGAGGAGGAGGAGGAGGACCTTCTCAGGCAGCGCCATCTCGAGGAGCGCTGGCTCGTCGCCGTCCCTCGGCAGCGCGGAAGAGCTCTCCTTGTGCGCGTCGGCGTCCTGGTCGTCGCCGAAGGCGAGCAACTCTGGCGTTGGGCATCGCGTGGGGGCCGAGCTCAGCCAGTCCAACTCGGGACGCGCCACCTTGCCCTTCCACTGCTCGGTGAGAGCTGCTTCAACTTCTTGAAACATCGCGCGCGGGTTGACCATGGCTGGTGGGATACTGGCCGGCCGGCAACCACACGCTGCTAAAGTCGAGATCTCCACTGCCCCAAATATTTCTTGAGCCACAACGGCTGCGGACGGAAGGGAGATGATGGGTTCCTGGGAAGACCAGGAGAACCCCCGAAAAACCTCCCAGTCATAGAATCCCACCAGCCCTCTGGGCGCAGGTGGTCTAGGGCGTTTCCTTTTCCAACCTCCTTCCTTTCCCTGCTTGGGAGGTTTACCCCCCCCATCCATGCGTTTGGACGGGGGGGGGGCCCGACCCATAGCAGCGTCCAAGATGGCCCAAAATGGCTCCAAGAGGACATCAGAGAGCGCAAGGTGGCCTCCAAGATGGCCCAAGATAGCGGGAGATGGGTCAAGATAGCCTCCGACACACGTCCAAGAGGCCTCAAGACGGCCCCAAGACGTTTTTAAGTGCTGTCCGGGGCCTCCGAAGACCCCCCCAAGAAGCAAAAATCCTTCAAAACCTAATGAACACCACTGTTGTTTGTCTTCTCGCTTTTTCGCCTCCGATGAGCTCTCGAGGCCTCAAGATGCCCCCAAAACGGTCCAAAATAGCCCAAAGAGGGGCCCCCAAAAACCCCAAGACGGCCCCCAAACCGCTCCAACAGCGGGCCAAGAGGGCCCCAGGACGGCACTTTTGAGCCTCCGATGGGGGGGTCCGAATTAAGGAACCGCCTTTTTTTTGAACGAAAGGGTCCAAGACGGCCCCCAAAGGCCCCTCAGGCATCCCAAACGAGCCCCAAGAAGGCTCCCAGGCCCCCCAGAAGAGCCACAAGAGCGGGCCAAGAGAACCCCAGGAGAGCCCCAAGAGGGCTCAAAAAAAACCCTAGGAGGTTCTCAAGAGAGCCCGAAGAAAGAGCTCCAGTAGGGCCCCAAGAGGGCCCCAAAAAAAACCCAAGAGAGCCCCAATATGGCCCCAAGTTTCGAATCGCACGCGAGTTTAATATACAAATCGGTGCAACAACCATTACGAGTCATCGAAAACACCCATCACCCCTCATCGAAGCACCACGTAGCTTGCACCGATTTCATTTTAGACTTCAATGCGGGAAGCTATGTGTGATCCTTGTTTTCCCGAAAACGGCTGCGCGACTGCATGCGTCCTGCCGCCCCTGATTCACCAACTCCTCTGCTGATCGTCTGTGGATGGGCTGGCGGGGATACGCGAAGCGCCGAGAATTTTCTATAGCTCTCCTCCCCAAAACCTGGAGTGGTGGAAACAAACACAAAAAACGACAAATTCCCGTGACGGGCGCTTTTCCCGGGAGAGGCGTAGGCCCAGGTTTCTCTTTTAGAATGGTAAGCCTGTCGCCGGCGCCAAGTTCGAGGAGGGTTCGAAGAGGGCTGGCGGATTTATTCGCGATAAATCAGAAGGTCGAAGAGGACAAGCGGACCCAATGTTGAGGACGTCACGAACGAACGCTGGTTTTGGAAATCATGACCGATGACACACAAGCGAAACGCTTGTCGTTTTGTCTCGAGCGAAACGCGTGTTATTGAAAGTCATATGTTGCGGATGTCCTAGCGAAACGCTTGCTTTGCACATTGTGTCGAGGATGCTTCGGGCGAAACAATTGTTTGGTCCTTTTGATTGCTCCGTTCCTGGGATTCGCGCCCTTCGCGTCTTACGCGTGATCCTGTCGGAAGGTTCGCATGGCGCCGCCGTCCCATGTCGGCGCACCCCTCACACGCTTCGCGGCCCCATAGGGAGCTCCACCGAAGGCCCCAGTGAAAACGAGACTCGAATCCCCGAGGGCCTGCGCCGCGGGGGGCGCAGCGGCCGCGGGGAGCAGCGGCCGCGGGCTTCCGTAGCTGTGCCAATGACGCGTCACGCACACACACACACACACACAAACGACACCGACCCAGCACCAACAAGGGGCTTTAACGGCGCATATTCCCCAGCCCAGGCCAGGGCATGCACCCGGGGCGGGTGGGTGGGTTCAAGAACCAGGGGATGGGACCCTGGCCCTGATGCTTTCCCGACTGCGGTTCGAACCCAAAACTTGCGGCGACGAGGAATGCATGCACAAGGCAAGCGATGCAATGACCAGCGAACGCACGCACAAGGCAAGCAACGCAATGACCTGCGAATGAGTGAACAATGCAAGCAGCGCCAAGTGCCACAACACGAGAATGCATGCACGTGACATGAGAACAATGCAACAATGTGAGAAAGCATGCAGAGGCCCCCCGTGACTCTCCCTACGTTTTCCGGGCCGTACGAAGCAGCATCGCCGTCTGCAGAAAACGAGACTTGAATCACCCGGGGCCTGCGCCGCGGGGGGCGCAGCGGCCGCGGGGGGCAGCGGCCGCGGGCTTCCGTAGCTGCGCTAGTGACGCGTCACGCACACACACACACACACACACACACGCACACACACACACACACACACACACACACACACACACACACACACACACACACACACACACACACACACACACACACACACAAACGACACCGACCCAGCACCAACAAGGGGCTTTTAACGGTGCGTATTCCCCAGCCCAACCCAAGGCCTACACCCCTAGTGTGGGCTGGGCGCGACGACCCCACTGTGGCGCCCTACGCGCACCCTGGTTCACTGTCGCTGTGGTCGGCCACATACTGAGCGCACGCCCCAGTCTCGAGCTCGCGCGGCTTCATGTAAGCCATAAAAAAGCTCGCCGACCTCCGTCCGCCCGCTCGCAAAATCTCCCACAACTGGCACCCTTGGGATGCCATGTCCTGGGCCATGCCCCGCCTGAACGCATGCGTCCCTGCGTTGGCAACGCCGCTCTCCAGAGCATATGCGCAAATCTCTTGCAAAAACTTCGGATGCCCGAACGAAAATGATCCTGGCGAAAGACCCAACCATAAGCAATTGTTGGTAACGCGTTGTGGGTGCCGCTTTCGGTGGGGCTCCATATGGAGCCACGAAGCGCTGCCTTGGATGGGGGAACCGCATGCGGACTGCGCCACCGGGGCGGGCCTTCGGTGGAGCTCCCTATGGGGCTACGAAACGCTGCCCTGGGTGGGGGAACCGCATGCGAACACCCCCACTGGGGCCTTCGGTGGAGCTCCCTATGGGGCTACGAAACGCTGCCCTGGGTGGTGGAACCGCATGCGAACACCCCCACTGGGGCCTTCGGTGGAGCTCCCTATGGGGCCACGAAACGCTGCCCTGGGTGGGGGAACCGCATGCGAACACCCCCACTGGGGCCTTCGGTGGAGCTCCCTATGGTGCTACGAAACGCTGCCCTGGGTGGGGGAACCGCATGCGAGATGCGCCGGTGTTCCCTGGGGCCTTCGGTGGACTCCTATGTGGGCCACGAAGGCGCTGTGCTGTGGGTGGGGGAACCGCTGCGAACACCCCCACTGGGGGCCTTCGGTGGAGCTCCCTATGGGGGCCACATGACAAAAAAGGAAAGGGGGAAAGAAAGGATACGAACGCCTGCCCTGGGTGGTGACACCGCATGCGAACACCCCCACTGGGGCCTTCAGTTGGAGCGCGGCCTATGTGGCTCCGAAACGCTGCCCTTGGTGGGTAACTGCATGCGAACACCAACCACTGGGGCCTTCGTGTAGCTCCCTATGGTGCCACGAAACGCTGCCCTGGTGGGGGACCCGGGACCGCAATGCGAACACCCCCACTGGGGCCTTCGGTGGAGCTCCCTATGGGTCCACGAAGCGCTGCCTTGGATGGGGGAACCGCATGCGGACTGCGCCACCGGGGCGGGCCTTCGGTGGAGCTCCCTATGGGGCTACGAAACGCTGCCCTGGGTGGGGGGACCGCATGCGAACTGCGCCACTGGGGCCTTCGGTGGAGCTCCCTATGGGGCCACGAAACGCTGTCCTGGGTGGGGGAGACGCATGCGAACTGCGCCACTGGGACTTCGGTGGAGCTTCCTATGGGGCCACGAAAAGCTGTCCTGGGTGGGGGAGACGCATGCGAACTGCGCCACTGGGACCCTCGGTGGAGCTCCCTATGGGGCCACGAAACGCTGTCCTGGGTGGGGGAGACGCATGCGAACCCCACTGGGGGCCTTCGGTGGAGCTCCCTATGGGGCCACGAAGCGCCTGCCCTGGGTGGGGAACCGCATGTGCGACCGCCCACATTGGGCCTTCGGTGGAGTCCCTATGGGGCTACAAAACGCTGCCCTGGGTGGGGGAAACCGCATGCAACACCCCGAACACTGGGGCCTTCGGTGGAGCTCCCTATGGGGCCACGAAAGGGCTGCCACTGGGTGGGGGGGGAACCGCATGTGTAACACCCCCACTGGGGCCTTCGGTGGAGCTACCTATGGACCCTAACGAAACGCTGCCCGGTGGGGGCGGCATGCGAACCCTGCCACTGGGGCCTTCGGTGGAGCTCCCTATGGGGCCACGAAACGCTGCCCTGGGTGGGGGAACCGCATGCGAACACCCCCACTGGGGCCTTCGGTGGAGCTCCCTATGGACCTACGAAACGCTGCCCTGGGTGGGGGAACCGCATGCGAACACCCCCACTGGGGCCTTCGGTGGAGCTCCCTATGGGGCCACGAAACGCTGCCCTGGGTGGGGGAACCGCATGCGAACACCCCCACTGGGGCCTTCGGTGGAGCTCCCTATGGGGCTACGAAACGCTGCCCTGGGTGGGGGAACCGCATGCGAACACCCCCACTGGGGCCTTCGGTGGAGCTCCCTATGGGGCCACGAAACGCTGCCCTGGGTGGGGGAACCGCATGCGAACACCCCCACTGGGGCCTTCGGTGGAGCTCCCTATGGGGCTACGAAACGCTGCCCTGGGTGGGGGAACCGCATGCGAACACCCCCACTGGGGCCTTCGGTGGAGCTCCCTATGGGGCCACGAAACGCTGCCCTGGGTGGGGGAACCGCATGCGAACACCCCCACTGGGGCCTTCGGTGGAGCTCCCTATGGGGCCACGAAACGCTGCCCTGGGTGGGGGAACCGCATGCGAACACCCCCACTGGGGCCTTCGGTGGAGCTACCTATGGGGCTACGAAACGCGTGAGAGGTGCGCCGAGAGCAGAGGCAAGGAGGGGGAGGAGGGGGAGGAGGAAGGAACGCGGGGCACCGTCTCTTCAAAACGAGGACCCAACACCACAGGATGGTTGGGAAAAAAAAAACTCGTTCCTGCGAGCGAGCCGGGCGCGACGCACTGCGTCCGCCAACCTGTGGACAGCG